TAGATTTAAACTGATTTATTGGCATGGGATTTTAAATAGTTTTTGGTTGGTGTGTTTGAGTAATACCTTCCAAATCATGATCTTTATACCGTAGATCTATGTAGTTATCCATGTTGTTGACCAGAATCTGTATTGTGTGGGATGTCCCTACCTTTGGAGGAGGTGGGAAAAAACCTTCAGTGGGAGCCTAGTTGACTTCTTGTTGAGATACAGTAGATTATGGTTCACGTCTGGTTTGGTGGCCGCTTGATGCACCAACAATTTGGGCTATTTCTTGAAAAGCCACCTTGGGAATCTGGTCTCGCCTCTCAATGATGTTCTTCAAGGCTAGAATGACTTAACTCATATCTCATTTAATTGAGTCAATGCTACCCTTCACTTGTTATAAGTCTTCTTGGAAGATGGCTTGATTTTGTTAGATCTGTCCCATCACCTTCTTTTGATGAGCTCTGGTTTGATATGGAGGTCAGAGAAGCGGTGCTTTTCTACCAATGATTTAACTGGAGAAATTTTAAAAATGATGAGTTTTTTTTATGAAATACGATGTTTGTGTTGTGGATGAATGTGTATGAATATGCTAAGAGTTTTATTTTGAATGTTTATTCACTTGGATTTCTTTTTATTCGTATATTTTTCCAAGTTTTTACTTTTTACTGGTGGGTATCCCAAAATAAATACACGATTTGAATACAGAAACAAAAGTACTTTTATTAATTTAAGCTATCTTTGCAAAGGGAAGTACACTCCAAAAGTTTGAAACAAAACACCAAAGGGAAAATACTGAAAGGAATTGTTGAACCAAACGTCAAATACAAAATGGAAGACAAAAATCTCCTAAGTGCGCTTGAGGATCTCTGCCCTAAAACCATCAACCATTTTCCTACGAAACTTGAGAAAGTCTTGAACATCTTTTGAGGCCATTCATCTATTGTCATATTTGGAACCATGCAGTCCTCTTTATATAGTTGAGAAATGAGCCAAGAGTATAAAATAGGAATACAACAGTTTAGTACACCCCTCCCTTTTTCATAACAAGTGTGAAGAGCATAATAAACTTTAGCAAGTAAAGCAGAAGTTGGATCCACATTTAATAATTTCACGTCCCAAAACACACTAATAGTTGCAGGATCTATATATTCTAAAGTACGCGGAAACAGAATCACACCAAAGACAAGCAACCTCAAACAATCAATACAAGACTCTCATTCTTTCTTGTTGGCAAGAGTAAGAGCTTGAGCTTCTAAATAGTGTTTTTTAATCCCTTGCACTTCACCCTCTCTTTTGTAGTTGAGTGACAAATCAGAAAAGGGTATCCCTAATTATCTTACCAAATCTCTAACATCGACAGTCTGTCCAATCCCCACATAAACCTTACTTTTAGAAAAATCCAAGATCCTATCAAATTCTTCCAAAGTTGGTGCTAGTTGAAAATTTTGAAAAGTGAAACACCTTAGCGAAGGATCATAGAACTGAACTAAGGCAGTGATAGCATCCATTTATACATTTACTTTAGTCAACTCAAGGGTATCCCCATAGCGGCGGACAAACATCATCATAGTTTTTTCAGGCAGTTTCTCCTTAATGAATTTTATTTTCTTTATATCAGCACGACAGTGCTAACACGAACAACTTGCTTCTTTTTGGTATTCATTTTTAGGATACTCACCAAAAACCTTTGATTATTATTTTTTCTTAGAAATCTTGTTAATAAGACAACAAAAAATGAAAAAATAATGAATATTTTGAAATGTGAGATGAATGTATGCATGGTGATGTAACGTAGTAGTGGGATTTGTGAAAGGTATCCTTAGTTGGTAGGTTCCTAGTTTCGGCCTATGAATATTCTTCCCTTACAAAAGGTGGTTTCCTTAAGGGTAACATGGATAACACCAAAGGATAAAGGCACAAGGGCCTCCATTAGGCAGAACCTCGTTGTAGACCAAAACTTTTGTCTCTTAGGTCATACAAGGTATCACCATGAGATTTTGTTTTGGGTTATACAAAGAGTCATAAGTTTCGTTCCCAAGTCCTACCCCCAAAGAGTCTAGCCCCTTTGGAGATATTTCTTCTTAGGAATTCCATTGACTCTAGGCGAAGTTGTCGCAAAAACTCATAGGGATGTTAAACCCCCTTGTCCAATTGACAGTCCTCCTTTCTAAGATTTGATACTTATTTTTAATACAAATCCCACCACAACAAAATAATCATGATAATAGCAAATAATATGAATAAATAAAATAAACAAATAATCAATTACAAAAACAAAATATACCAACAATAGAAAATACCCAAAAAATCCTAGACCTAACAAAAAAGAAAAACTCTAAACCATAGGGTTGATTTCCCAAGAGAGTCGTCAGCTATCGTAACCGGAAAAAAAAAATAAGAGTCGCCACCACTACTTTTTTTCCTAACGACGGGAAAATAATGGATAACCCTAATTCGTACAGAGATTCTAAATTCGTGAGTTTATTAGAAGAAGGGAAGGTGTTAGACACCATTCATCTCCCTTGTTCTCAAGGGACTCCTTTTTGAGGTCTAAGGGAAAAAACGGTGAATTTGGTAGTTAATGTTATATTATTGCATATTTTGGAAAAGGGTTTAATTTTTAATTAGGGGACTCGCCTTGGTTTTTAAGCCGCGTGCCTACGTATCCTCTTATGAGGAATCAGAGTCTTAATTCGTAGTTCGTAGGTGTTTGGTTAGTTTTTTATGGATTGTGGAAATGTTTGAAATTAATCTTTGAACCTTGTCTGAGTTTGAAAATAGCATAGTCGTAGACGCAGATCGTAGTTAATAAAAAATATATCCACAATCCTTTTTGAAAATAATACTGAAATTGAAATTAAGTTACTAAAAATAGGTAGTATTTGATGGGTTAGCTCTCTTAAATGCATGATAAAAAGAGCTTTGAATTATAAAAGGTTTGATAAAGTAGAAAAAAATGGTTAGTATGTGAAAATAATTAATAAATAAATATTTTCCTATTATTAAAAACACTAAATATTTTTAATATTACTCCAATATTATTTGATAAAATATTAAATGCAAAAATATTTTTAATACAAAAAATATTGATGATAATAAATAAATAAAACAAATTAATATAAATTAAACAAATTAATTAATTAATTAATTAATTAATTAACTAAAAAATAATAATTAATTAAAAATGAAAGGGGGGTGTATACTTAGTTTAGTGGTAATTCCCGAGGGTGTAAAAATCAAGGGTTGAAGCCCAGGAGTTGAATTTAGTCCAATAACGCAAGGGGGGTGCGGGTTTGAACTGAGGAAGTAATAGGGTTTTTCAATAGGGCTGGGCCTAAGCCCAAAACAAAAGTGGAAAGGTCCGTTTGGATGTCATGCGAGCGAGTTTAGGGAGTTATCATGGATTGGCGCAGTTGTGAACCTCCGATCTTGACCAAAGGGCCACCTAAGGTTAACTCAGAGGCATTAATCAAAAGTATACGAGACACAGGGCCATAATCGATAATTGATCGAGTGTGTACAATAAGGAGACGCACACGATTATTGATCAGCAAACCAAACACGTGGCCTGCAAATGGCCACGTGCTGCCAACAAACAGAGATGCAGAGGGGGTATAATTTTACTGGCTTTCATTTTCTTTTCTTTTTTTCATTTTCACAAAGTTCTTCTCTCTTTTCTTCTTCTAACCTTCCCGTTCTCCAAACCTACTTCCCATCTCTCTTTACCAACCACCTTACACCACCATACAATTGCCGCGGACGGGCCGTCTCCAGTTGAAGATCAACCGGAGAATTCGATCTTTCAACAACATTAACACAGATCGTACAATAATCCTGAAAAACCTAACCCCAAATCTTTCGAAAATACGTCAAATCGACATGGCAATCAGAGATCGATACAAACAAACCCTAAGCTAAGTGGATCAAAAAATAAGTCTCCTGCAGTGAATCTTGATTTTTACTCTTCCGATTTCCTGGTTCTCTCCGTCTAATCTCCTTCTTCTTCTTTGTTTTGTAGGTATCGAATAATGAAGGCTTTTTTGCTATGAGAATTTAGGGTTTTAGTTGTGAAACTTTAGTTCTCTTTGAATGACGAACTTTTAGTGAGGGTTAGGGATTTCGCAGCAAACTTCAAGATTTTTCCAAGGATCTATTTTTTCCCCACTTTCATATTGTTAAGGTTCTTATTTATAGCTTTAGGTTTTGTTAGATTAATAAATATTTCAGTGATTTCTGTTACGAATTAGAATTAGAGTTGATTTAGGTTAATTGAATGTAATTTATTCAGTTAGGTCTTAGATCGAATTAATCAGAAATTTAATTATATTCTAATTTTGTAATTTTAAAAAAATTTGATTAGAGATTAGAAATTAAGAATTTTGATAGTTATCTAATTATTTTGGATTCAAAGGTAATAATCATTTGCGTTTTCGTTACCTATAACTTTGTCATTATTAGAAATTATTATACATCAGTGAGGAATCACAATACTATTTTATAATCAATTTTTTTTAATTACTTTAATCCCTTAATAATATCTATTAATTATTAGGTGATTAATCCTAATAAATTTTAATAATATAACGAATCCTAAATAATTATTATATCAAAATTTATTTTTTAGGGACAACTCTTCTAATACACCTTATACTTGAAGGATTATTCAGTGTTTAATATATTATTTTAGTTTTTTCAAAAGAAAATTATTATGTCAAAATATATTTTTTTTTGGGATAATTCTTGTAATACACTTTGTCTGAAGGATTTGTTCAGTGTTTGATATATTTTAAGTTTTTTCAAAAAAAAATTATTATGTCAAAATATTTCATGTCACAGTTTAAATATATTTCAGGAAAGATCCTTTATATTTGTTATTAATAGTGCAATTTTAAATTGGACTGATTTTTATGTATATCAAAATTAAAGATAAATCAACTTTTGGTTTTGTATTTTTTTTCTTCAATTTCTCTACTTTGAATAGCATTTTGATTAAAAAACTATGATTTGTCTCCATGCAAGTGACCACACCTTATAAAAAACCCTTCCCTTGTCGTGTTATTCTCCACATCCCACGTGGCAATTCATTATTGTTCCTTCCAACTTTTGTTTATGCCAAGTGCAGTACCTTATCATTGGAACACCTCAGATTAAATCCAACGGCTCACACAACTCCACCTCTCATTCACATTAATCCAACCGCTATCTGGAAAACTATACAACTTGCAACTCTCTTTTATTATTCCTTCTTCATCTTCTCTTTTCCATCACAACTTCTATACTCTAATTCTATTAATTACACTTTTCTACAATTTTCCAAAATCCAACCTATCTGAGGTTTTTGTTCTTTTTGAGGTAACACATATACTGATTCATCAATTGTTGTTCTTTGTTTTGTTCCTTCAAGTAAAGTTTCTGAATTTCGTGTTTTTAAAACATGATTTGTCGTTTCAGCTTCTGGGTATTTTTCAGTTCAACTTTATATTATCTGATTTCTAAAAAAATATGTTTTTTTGTTTGTTTTATAAAAATATTTTGATGAGTAATTGAAGCTTTTTATTGAGAAATTGAGTTAAATATGTTTGCATAGGATGTGATTTGGTTACCTTGATGGTTTCCACGGTGATGATTTGTTTGTGTTACCTATTTTTAGGTTTTTCTTTTTATTTGTTTTCAGCTTTAAGAATGTTTTTGAATTGATTATGTGCCAAATTGTGTGTCCATGATGTGTACCTAGAAAAGAAAAAGTGTGCAAAATTAGGTTTTACTATTTCTTAAATTGTGGTTTTGTAGAAAATGGGTGTCTAGGTTCAATGTACTTAGAAGTAATGTTTTGGTTTGGTTTTGTGTGTATATACATCCAATGTATATTGCACAATTTTCAGGACATGTGTGTTTTTATAGGATTCTGTTTTGGTCTTTTCTTGTGTAAAAGCTATAAAACTTAACTCTTCTAGCTTTTGGTGCATTGAGCTTGTGTTGATTTATAGTTACTAACTATTGTTCTTCTCAATAGGTAAAAGTTTGAAGAACTCAACATAAATAAATGTCGGTGGCGTTCACGAATCTCTCTTGGTGGTTATGGAATGAAAAACATCAGGAATCGAGAGTTCCGAAGGGGGGTTCGAAAAATTCTTCAACCGGTTTGAACATGTTGGAGTCCGAGGTAATGAGGTTTCCTTTGGTTCAAGCGAACATTGGTTCGTCGTCGAGGAAGGTGAAGAGAAAATGGAATAGTAGGGAGGAGAGGAAAGTGGATAGGGAATATGATGTTGTTCTTGTTCCATCTGATGGTGGATGTGTTTCGGGTTCGGAATCGGATGATTCTGATTGGTCAATTGGATGGTTGGAACCTCATGGACCTGGTTTTCCGAGTGATGGTGAAACTGATAATAGTTTTGCAGTGTTGGTTCCTTGTTATGGAAGGGATTATGGTAGGATTCAAGAGGATAATAAATCCAACTTACTCAATGGTGTTGGAGTTTTTTTGGATAGTTATTCTGATGGTAAGCATATTTCATTATATTTTTCTGAGTTTTTAGAGGTCCTGTGTAGATTAGTCACGGTCCAACCTAAACAAAACAACTAGGAGCCCAATTTAGGCATGGTTTAGCCGTGACAAACCTATTCTGAGGCCCTATTTAGCCGCATTTTAGATATGACAAACTTAAGGTCATCTGCTGTAGCCCATGTTGCACACCCTCAAAGGCGACCTTTCTCTTTTATGTTGTGTTTAGTGAATTATTTGGATCTGAATGTTTGAATTGAGTAGAATGATTTATGCATTTCTTTTCTCTATCTGCAGAAAGCAAGAAATATGTGGAAAACTGGCTATCTTCTCTTCGAAACACTTGACGAACTAATCTTCATCATTTTGATCCTGTATCTTCATGACAAAATCCTCTGATATGATCTTTAGCCAACAAAATATTGTATATTGTAAATAGTGTTAAAAAAAAGAGCACTCTTATGTGATATGATGTCTAATGTGATTGGTAAAAATTTCTTGGATAATAATTGAAACCTATGAGGAGGAAACATTATAGTCAAGAATAAAGCAACTGTGGTGGTGGTGCTTTTGCTTTGAGAATGATGTGTAACTTGTGTTCTTCTTTTTCTTCTCTTGCTTTGAGGATCGCGACAATGTGGCGGAATCGGGAGCAATGTGGATGAATGCATATTTGATGTGTGATGATTTTGTAGCTTGCAATTTGTTGTTGTAAATATGAATGTAGATATTGGAATTTGATTTAATGCTTAATCTTGTTCTCAGAACTGTATATAAATTTTGTATAATAACATCACTTTATTCTGTATAGATGTGTATATGGATCTATTTATGTATCTGATTTGGAATGTGCTGAATCGTGCGATTCAATTGATTGAGCGTTGCACGGTTCTTAATACAAATTTACAAGAACAAATCTCGTTAATCTAACTCAGTTGATAACTGCATAAACATTTAATTGTAGATACGTGAATCTGAATCCGTTATATATCACTTATTCATCTGAGATCAGAAATATCAGTGACAATCAAGTTTAGCCATATGCCACATGCTTTGTCTATTAGGTATTTCATATTTGATATATGAAAGTTAAATTTACAATTATGAAGTAATTTTTTTAAATGCTAGTTGGTATTTATTTATAAATCAGTTGAATATTTATTTAAATGCTAGGTAAATAAGTTGTTGATATTTGTTTAATGAGCTTCATATTAATATTACAGATTGTCATTTAGAGTCTAATATTTATAAAAGTCCCATCAAATTGGTAAATGAACTTTAATTATTTCAAACTTTCAAGTAAGTTAGTTGAATCATTTTGTTAGTAATAGTTTTGTTAACACATATGTCAGTTAATACTTGAAAGGAATGTAAGTTTAACTATCAATCTGTTATCTAAATCTAATTTCTTTGATTGAAATATGGGTCATTCACAATGTGTTTTGTCCTATTAAACAGGATTTTGAGCAACACTAATGGTTGATTTATTATCACAAAACAATTTATTGGGGTATTTACATTGCATTTTAAAATCTTATAATACTTGTTTTATCTACAATAATTCACAATTTTATTATGTCATGGCTCTAAATTATATTTTAGTATTTGATCGAACAACTACACTTCTTTACTTACTCCTCAAAACAATTAGGTTTTCATGCAAAAAGATTGAATAGTCTAAAATAGATTTTCTACACTCACTAAACCTGCATAATCAATATCATTATAAGTTTTCATGAGTAGACTTCCGTCTCTTTTAAATAAGAGCTCTCTCTTTGAAGCGACTTTGAGATATTGCAGAACACATTCTAGAATCTCCAAACATCTCTCTTGGATCTTGCATATATTGATTAGCCACACTAAATTCATATGTCAAATCCAATTTAGTACTAATTACTATTTCTAATTACTTTAGTCACTCTATTTCTAATTATTCTAACACAAATTGTTGTTTTTAGTAATTAATCTTAAAGTAATTGCAAATTTTGAATATCACAATTCATTCTTCATTTCCTCTCATGCTTAGAACCACTTGTTCAACATGTGATATTAAAGTCTAATTCTAGTCAAAGACTAATCATCACATGATGAAGAAATGATTTAAAGAGGTCACTAAACAAGCTCTCCCCCTTTAATGGAAAAGTTTATGATTTATATAAAAATAAGATAAGAATCTTCATCGAGGGAATAAATAATGGTATTTAGAAGGTCGTAAAAAAGAACCCACTTGTTTTCACACGTGAAGTTGATGGTGTTGTGAGGAACAAAGACAACGAAGATGATTGGACTAAACATGAAAAAGAAAAGGTGTAATATGGTTTCAAATAAAAAACAATAATCACTACCATTCTCGGTCTTGATGAGTTCTTGCATGTTTCTCACTATAAAATTACTAAAGAAGTGTGGGAGGCCCTTCTAGTTGCCCATGAAGGTACTACTGAGATAAAAAGGTCGAAGTCGAATACATCAACCATAAGTATGACCTCTTTAAAATGAAACCTTATGAGAATATTTTTGAAATTTGTTCTGGACCGTCCAAAAGGCCTAGTTGACCAAGGACCAACCATCAAAAGTCCACTGGACTCGACCTAAACATAAAAATGATTTACATGCAACGTGAAGGTATACAAGCTATAATCTCAAATTTCACTATACTCTTCTAAAATATTAATTTGACTTGGGGATTAAACTAACTTGAATATTTCGAGTTCCTTTGTGGATGTAGATCATCAATTTTTGGTTCTCTAATGGAACAATGGCGCCGCCTGTGGGGATGACTTTCGATTCCTACGGTTTCCTTAGTTTCTGATTTACCAAGTGGTAAACTCTTTAGGCCACCAAATCAAAAGTGCATCAAACCCCCAAATTTTGACAATTTTCACATATACACATTCACTTCTCGGTTTCATCATTCATACCTCATCAGATCTCAAAAGAGAGAGAGAACTCGTAAGTGAACGCAAGGATCCGTCATAGCCGCTTCCTCTGGTTGCTGTTTTCTCCTTTAATTCACCATAAAGATATCTTATTTCCTCGAGAAATCCGCAAAATAGCAGAAGAAATAACTTCATATCTAGATCTAGGGTTATTAAGTTTCATGAAATTTGAGCCAAGGCTTCGTGATCCATCGTATAACCTTGGTTTCGCCCACACTTTTGTCGTTACTGTGATGATTAAATGGGATGTTTATGGAAGATACAACAAGTTTGTAGTTAATGGCGCCCATATATCGCAAATTTGTAGTTAATGCTAGGCGCCAATATGATATCGGGGTGTATCTTGTGGATACCATAAGATTTCCGCTTGATGCACTAGAGTCTTCACCGACTTATAACGAAGTAGAGATCCATTAGAAATACCTAGGGAAAGATATGTCAGATACCAATTGCAAGAAAACCGGTCGATATCAACATCTGAACGTCGTTCAACACTCTTGTTCCAAAGGAAAGACTCGACGGGGAGCAAGCTGATACGAGCAGTCAAAAGGAAGTTCACCAAAGCATTGGACATAACAATTGAAAGAGCCCGGAATCAACAATCATCCTTGGGCTACACTCCCAAAGCAACCTACCTCCTAAACAAACATCAATATATGGATGCAAGACAAAACACCTCGAAGAAGACATTTTGAAACTCAAAGCACCTTCAAACTGGAATCCTAGAAGGAGAATCACACCGACCAAAAGCTATGGACCCTTTCCAACCACACCGAGGTCACCGGTGATGGTTATCCACCCCGATGTTTATTTATTTATATGTAACAAATTCAATTTAATATTATTATTATGAAAATGTACATATGTAGAGATCTTTTCTCTTTCCGTGTGT